GTTATCTATTACCCCCAGAACATGTAACTACACCTAACCCAGTAGTTTTCCACTCCTTACTAATCCTAGAGACCCTACCTTCTCCCCCTGACGTAGCAAGGTCCCCCTAGGCTATTTAACCCCATGAGATAAAATAATAAACACCATTTGACCATCCACCACATTGGTGTCAGTGAGTATCAGTGGCCCGAGTGGGCTGTGCGAGACCAGGCTACCGTGCTGTTCCTTACAACCAAGTCGCCTTGCCTTCCCCTGAAAGCAACACAGGACAGGACAGGACAGGACAGGACAGGAGGAGGGAGCTGGCCAGGCTGTGCTCCCATGGATGCACCGTCCCACACACGGCGCTGCCCTCTCAGAGCCAGCCCCGCGCTCACACGCGGAACCATGGCTGCTGCCTTGCAAAAGGCACCAAGAGGACGCTGCCTTCCCCCCAGCCGCCTGGCCAGCACCAGCCACCATCACCTGAGACCCCCCGAGGTACCTGCAGCGTGTGGCAGCTCGGGGCCGGGGGGCGATGTCCTGTGCAGGGCGGTGCTGCCCACCTTGCCAGCAAAGCCGCCGATCAGGCGGTTCTCCAGCTCCGCGTACACGGCCGACATCTGGGGAAGGACACAGAGCTGCTGCCCTGCCCGGGCCTGGGGAGCCCCACAGAGCTGCCACGGCCTGGGGGCAGGACAGTGCCACAGGCCAGGCTGGCCAGAGCAGCTGGGGCTGCCCTGGATCCCTGGCAGTGCCCAAGGCCAGGCTGGACGGGGTTTGGAGCACCTGGGACAGTGAAAGGTGCCCCTCCACGGCAGGGGTGGCACTGGATGGGCTTTAAGGCCCTTCCAACCCAAACTTTCTTGGGCTCTCTGGCCCACCAGTACCCATGTCTTGCTCTTTAAAGGGGGACTTCACCCCAGCCCAGGCTGCTCTGCCCTGTCTGAGCCCCCCAAGAGCCTCCCACTGATGAGGCTGCAGGAAGACACTGGCAGACACAGCCTCATTAAAGGTGACCAATTGCCCAGGGAGGTGACCCCCGAGAGGGGCTGGGACACCGCCAGCCCCCTGCAGGTATTCACCCACAGACACATCCTTCCCTTTTCCCTGCTGCCCCGTGCTCACAGCCAAGGACCCAAACTGCCTTCCTGTGGACACACCACCCCACACGCGTGGGCAAAGCCCTGCCAGGGGTGTCCCCTGCCCCCTCACACCATTTTGGGGTTGGGTGTCTCCGGGAGGGACGTGCCATCACCAGCCTGTCTCTCTCCAGGGATCAGGCGAACGGGGACCTCCACGGTGTCACTGCCTGCGGGAGGGAGAGACAAACCACTCACTGCTCTGTGCCCCCAGCTCCCCCCAGCCCTGACCCACAGAGGGCCCCCGGCTCCTGCTGGGACCCAGAGCGACCTCCCTGCCCCAGCTCCCGGCTCTGGGGGTCCCAGGGGGGCAGTGCAGGCCGGGTTTAAGGTCAGCAGACAGCTCCAAGCTGCTCCGCTCTTCCCTCGGGGCAGCTGAGGACAGGCTGCTCCCCACAGCTGGCCAACATCTGCCCAGGCACGGCTCCCCTCCAGCACACACAGCTGTCGGCTGCTCTCCGTGCTCTAATCCCCTCCAGAAAAGCTCCTCGGAGCCAGGTCAGAGGATCTTCCCTGGGGAAATGTCTCAGCTGAGGGCACCACAAGCCCAGGAGGTCCTTAGGGAGGTCGTGGGCAGGAGCACAGGTCAAGGGCCAGCAGCCACGGGAACAGGCAGCTCTGTGTCCCCTGGTGCCACGAACGGGGTTTGTCAGCACTCTCCAAGGGACCCTGAACCACCATCTCCTTCCTCCCATGGATTTCACAAATGTGGTTTTCCTGTAATCTCATGGACACTGAGAATGTTCAGAGGCAAGCCATAAATCTTACCCCAAAAGGGGGGCCCAGACAGCAGGAGCAGTTCACATCTGAGTAATGGAAGGGCTTGGAAATAACATTCAGCCTTATTGAATTGGTTCTTCCATTATGGAATCGCTTTCCCTGGAGGTGTCCCTGGCACCCCTGGATGTGGCACTCAGTGCTCTGGGCTGGGTGACAAGGTCACAGGTTGGACTTGATGATCTTGGAGGGCTTTTCCAACCTAAATGATTCTGTCATTCTATAATTCTGTGAAAAATTCACATGAAAACTTGGATTTCCAGCTGATGCCTCAGTGCTGACCTCCACCTTTGCCTCCATCGTTTCCCATGGTTCACACTTAGGAGCAGGTCAGGAATTTGGCTCGGGGCAGAGCAGGAGAGGGCAGGCAGAGCCGCCAGGTGCCACCCCCGTCACCCACCTGCTGCCCCCTCCTCAGGGCGGGGGGTCCGCAGGCTGCCCCGGCACAGGGAGGCCCCTCGGACGGAGCTGCGGTACCGGTCCTCAGCCTCCGCCTCGGCTGCAGGGGGAAACACCTCTGTGAGGCACGGCCGGACCCCACTGCTCCCCACCCTGCACAGGTACCCCCAGAGCCCCCAGAGCCCCCAGAGCCCCCAGAGCCCCCTGCCCATGGCACTCAGAGCAGCTGCATGCCCAGGACGCTCTCGCTCCACCCCGGCAGCTGAGCAGGTTCCAGGTGCTCGTGCCAGCACAGGGCAGGGATGGATGCGCAGGGACAGGGTATCCAGTCCGTTTTTCCAGCTGGATTGGCATCCACCAGCTTGTGGCTCACGTGAAAGTCCAGCCTGAGCTGGGCTGGTCCCAGTAAAGCCTTCCTGCCCCCCAGGGAAAAGAAGGAAGTGGGGCCAGCCCTGGGAAGGAGCACATGGCCCATGCATCGTCCATGTGCAGCTCGGTGTGGCAGCTCAGAGCATCTGTGAGTATGCTGTGAGTATGCTGTGAGCATCCTGTGAGCATCCTGCTCACAGCAGGATGGAGGGAACCCAGCATCCATCCCTGAGGTAGCCAGCAGACCAGACTGGGACGTGGGAGATCAGAGGAGTTTGGAGGCCCGGGGGAAGGACCAGCCCAAACCCAGAGATCTCTGGCTGTGGTGCTGCCAGGCACAGACACACAGAATGGGCCACAGCCACCAAATCTGCTCGTGCTCAGAGACTGTCCCTGAGACACGGAGAGGAGCCAGGGACCAGCCTGGAGCTGGGAGCAGCAGCTGGGACAGGCAGATGTGCTCCTGGGCTTCCCTCCTCCCTGGCTGGGGATTCCTGCCCTGCATTCCTGGAATGCAGCTGTGAGCTTCTGAGGCTGTACACTAATTCCAGGGCACGAATTCCTGCTATCCACAGCCCGTGGCCAGCTGTGACTCTGCACACACAAAGCAGAGGTGGCTGGTGCAGACCCAGCGTGCCTGGAGCACAGCAGCCCATGCACAGCAGGAAGGATCTGCACCAGCACGTGGAGCTGGTTCTGTTTTCTGCTAAAATCACTGTTTCCTCCAAAGCCTCTCTTCAAACAACACCTCTTTTACCTGTGCTGGGTCTAAAATTAACACATCTGGGTGAGCAGCTGAGAACGGGAAAATTGGAAGCAATTAAGAGTGCGAATGCACAGATTAGGACATTTCACGTCAAACCTGCTCTTCCCAGTCCACCACTGGCTTTGTGCTGCCACAGAACCAGGTGAGGTTGATGGTGAGGGGACACGGGACCAGGGATAAGCACCACCAACTTCCTTTGTGTTTTTGGGAGAGCAGCACCACCTCTCCCAACCGTGGATGTTTTTGTGACATCCCAGGGACGCCGTGACACCCTTATTTTACCTCTCTGCTCTGAATGCTGCCCTTGCACCAGCTGCTCCCTTCCTGGACCTCCTCACCTCTAAGCAGCTGAGCAGCTCCCCAAGCCCTGGCTCCCAGTCACCCTGCGAGGTGGCACCTCTCCTCCCAAGGAGGTTTCACTCCAGACTACACCAGCACAGGGGACCGAGCTCCCAGCACCCGCCAGGACACGGCGTGTCCCTCCTGGGCACCTCCTCTCACCTGCCAGGGCCTTGCACCCCAGAAACCTGTCAAGCTTTTGCTGGCAGTGCTCCTGCTCCTCGTAGCTCAGCAGCTGGTAGATAAACTGCCAGAGGACTTGCTTGGCTGGTGTGTCCAGCACCGGGTACACATCCACAATGAGGGTGTCAATGTTCCTGGAAAAAACATTGACAGTGTCAATGTGCCTGGAAAACAGGAGAGGGCTGGGCAGTGAGGGTGTCA